AAGTCTGTTGCATCGTCATCAGAAGTGCCCTGGAAGAAAAAGCGCTCTCTTAGTAATTGAAAAAAAACTCCCAAACAGATAAGAAATGGCTATCTTCGTAGATTTTGTGTAACTGCAATCCACTTTATAGATTGGAAAATACAATTGGAAACAGTACAACACATTTAAGGGTGGGAGTATGTTTTATGTTTGCAGATACCAAGTCAATATTCTATTTATTATCCGAGACTGACTGTATTATAGATGAAAATGATAAGCTACCAGTTTTTGAAGCATATTTTCCAGTTCTCGTTGTTTCTGCATGGTTCAGGGTTTACTGTTTCAATCCTGCCGTTATTGCCTCAAAGTGCTTCACAGGATTTGACTGCAAAGTATAGTGACTGTGTATTTGTTAATGAACGCAGCAGCCAATTTGCACAATCACAGCAAAGGGATATCTCTTTTCAAGGTTAGAGCCCATTCTTATCTAATTGTTGCTCACAGTTCATTCCTCATAACACTGAGAAACTTTTTCATTACTCTCCTCTGGGTAGTCGCTTATAATAATAATAATAATCCTTGCATTTGATATAGCGCCTTATCATGTCTTCAGGATGTCTCAAAGCGCTTCACAGAATATACTGTAAAGCGAATTGACTGCATATTTTGTGCGCGAAACACAGCAGCCAATTGCACAAAGCAGAGTCCCACAAACAAAATCATTATTCATTTTTTGGTGGGATTATTACCCCCGGAAAAGCAATCCCCAACTCGACCAACCCGCCAACCCTAGTTTTCCTGCTTCTTGTCCAGCTAGGAACACCTCTCCGGGCTTTGGCTCGCGGGGTAAACAGGAGTTGAGTGGGATGATTCTCTGCCCTCAGTAACTGGTTTGCCCTTCCACATCCTTCCACATCCACATGAATCAGGCTGGGCTGTGCTGTCATCAGCAGTGCCGTGATACTGCGGACCGACCTGGCTCAGGAACCGGACCAGAGACCGTCACAGAGGGTTGGCTCGATTCCCACATTCCGTTGTCAAACCCATGACACTGGATAAAACTGGACTTCACGGCTGTTTGTGGGACATTGCTGTGCACAAATTGACTACACTTTACAATAAACAGGTACCACACTTTACAGTAATATCCTATGTCGTGTTTTGCGACATTCTCCCGATGTGAAAAGGCGCGATATCAAATAAAATTATTATTATCATTATTATAACAGTCCAACCAACCACTTCAATGATCCAAAGTACGTGCCATATATTCACTAACGGATAAGTATCTTAAATAACTTTTCACAACCCATCATCGATTTCCAATTCGGAGCCCGAAGCAGATTCATGGACGTGCATATAATTGGCATGTGGATAACTGGCAATTCACTTTACAGTATATTCTGTGAAACGCTTTGAGACGTCTCGAAGATGTGATAAGGGGCTATATCAAATGCAAGGATTATTATTATTATTTATTTCTATCTCCTCTAGCCTCCTGCCATCTCCAGGCCTGCGACTATTTTTATCTGACTGTTTTTCGGTTCTCGACTTTTTATCTATACTGTTCTTGTGAAACAGAATTAAAGATATCAGGAAGTAATATGCTAGGGTGTGCAGGCGTCACACATTTGCTAGACAAACAAATGGTCATTGCATTTTGCAGTAAATCGTGTGAAGCACTTTCAGACATTTCAATGACAATAAGATGCTATATCGAAGACAATGATTATTATCAACACATTAAAACAGTAGCTTTAAGCTGTACTTAGTGCTTAGCTATACGATGGACCATATATCAATACAGGGTAAGGGGATATATATTATTTTACCTCTTGGACTGCATGGCCATTGTACGGCTTACAATCAGGTCAAAACCAGGTGCGACTACGCTGACTTAATCAGTTATTACTAAGTTTGGGAAACTCAGTGTAAAAAGTTTAAGTAGATTGTAACTGCCTAAAGTACAATTACTCAGAACACTGTGTGATAAATAAATGTGGTGGGGGTTGAACTGTTCCAATCTTATCAGCATCTTAAGTTGGGGAAATTGCTTAAATCGTCCCTGAGTTACTTCAGCAATGAGTCTTGAATGTCAGAGCAGCAGAAGTGTTCTGGAAAGTTTTGTTGGATAAAGTCTGAATGAAAAGAACATTCCACCCAGAAAGAAAGACCATCTTTGTCTAGAAATGTTAAGATTCCACAGAATTACGGAAATTTTTTGTCTTAATTTAGAAGCTGGTTCTTTTCAAGACATTGAAGGAAAATTGGTTTGGAAATGAAGACTTTCAATCTTTGAACCTCTCTCTCAACCTTCCTTTGAATCGACTTCTGCATGATTTCAAATTTTTATCAGAAACTTATTATTTTGTAGGCTGACGAGGTGGAAATTTGAGACTCGGAGGCAAGCAGCTAAAAAGGCTCGATTCAAGATTCTCAGTTTAAGCAATGAAAAATAATTTGACCGCGGTAAATTAATTTAAAATTTAAAGATACAGAAAGCTGTGTGGAGTTCAAAAAAGGCATATGTCTCGACCATCCACGTTAATAACATATTGTGCCTATTGAGCACTTTCTAGGTAAAAAAAAAATGCTTCTTGGAATCCATTCTAAAACACTGTTTAATAATCCTGTGCTCTCTTGTCCTGCTCTGCTAACTTGGTATTTCTGAAAGTATTTTCTAGGTTGACTTTCTGTATCTCCTATAGCACCTTATACATCGCTTTAAGTTCCTCAACTGATATGTATTTTTGATGGATGAAGAGCCCTATCTTATCTAATTTCTCACAAATCAATGCTAAAACATTGATTATCAGCCTTGTTGTTCTCCTGTGCACTGCCTTCTAGGGCTTAGTGGTTGGAGCACACACCTCGCAAGTGAGAGAACCTGGGTTTCATTCCCGGACAGGTTGAAACGTTGGGCAAGTCTTACTCCGCACGCTTCTGTTTACCGAGCAATAAGCGGTGGATCGCTTTTCCAGGGATAATATGTCCTTTAAAAAAAAAATAATAATTTGGTCACTCAATCCACGACTGTTTGTGGGACACTGCTGTGCGCAATTGGCTGCTGCGTTTCATATTTTCTGAGGATGAACGTAATTGAACTTAAGCGGCAGAAAGAACCCAGAACACAACACCACATGTGCTTTTTGCAGGAGATTTAAAACATTTAACTAAACACAGAAACGATCTGGAGATAAATCAGATTTTTTTTAAAAAAAAAGTGTAGTATCTGTGAATCACTGCAACAAACCAGAAAACATATGCTATGAAATCGTCAAACAAATTAGACAATGCAATATTATTCAAGATTAACATCACGTAATCTCACAAATTTCACTGTTTCTATCAGAAGTTAAAAGTAGAAATGAAAATGAATGAACTCATTTTAGTTTATTACCAACGAATGCATTGATTTAATTATTTACAAAGATTTCCCACAGCAGTTATTCATCACTCTTAGACATGCAGCAGAATAAGTTAAACTAGTTGTAAGCTCATGACTGTTCCCTCATATTAATGATGTTATTTTTATGCTTGTTAAAGTGAGGAACGGTTTCAAGTGTTTCAGTGATGGTGGAGTCCACGAACACAAGGTAACCTTCACTTTAAGCTGTTTTCACTCTCAGAAACTCTTCATGTCTCCTCCGCCTTCCCCGTCACCTTCAGCCACCGCGGGTTGTTTCTCTTGCTTCCCTCTTCCCCGTGGCTTTGGCTGGTGGCATTTGGCCATATGCGGTTCTGGATATAACCCTGAACTCTGGTCTTCATTGAGCTGTTGTCCAGCGTGGATCCATGCTTCCCGTGGGCTTGTTTATCTGGAGTTGCACTGCCCAGAAGACTGGCAATTCTGAAACTTCCTAAGCACAGTCCCATCCCTTGCCTAACTGTGCTACACAGTCAGAGAATCATTTAAGTCTGGCAGTGCTTGTAAATATACCACATGCTGTATTTCCCTTTTATGTGCATTGTGTTTAAAGCAGATGGTTTTAGCAGAAGCTCTATGTTCGACTAACAGAAGTCGTCTTTGCTCTCTCCACCTGTTTTTGACACTTCTGGGGCAATTTGTATCTGGATAAAAGTCAAACCTTTCCTGGAACTTTGTTCTCAAGAGCATAATTCAATGTGAGAATGACTGGATTATAATGCAAATAGATTGCAATGCAGATAAATGCAAAGTTATGTTGGCACCGTAGGAAGTAAAATAGGAGGCACATCTACTCCATGAATGAGACAGAACATATCAGAGAGGAAGCTGATCACTGTGTTAAAACAGTGTGAGGCAACAGTGAACAAGTTCAGCTCCCAGAAGTGATCAGGTAGTTGTTTCGGCCCAGAGTTAGAGGAGAGGATGTCACCAAAGCTCGAGGAATGAGTTACAAATAAGGACCGTTAAAGCCTAGTTTACCTATCGGATTTCAGCAAAAAAGGGTATTTTTCAGTGAAAATCTGTAAATCAAATAGACAACGTCAATGGTCCTCAGTGATGAGCCACAATTATATAAGCTGGAAAGGAAATATCTCAGAGAGGACATTATAGATGTAAATACAATTTTATGGAATTCAGAAAATAAATTCAGAACAATATTTTCAGATACTTGGGTCATCATGTAACAGCTGACTTCACTTCCTGCATGTTCTGTATGTGTTGACATGACGTCCTTCACTCTGGCAGGTTATAACAGAGTCGCTGTGTTCAAAGGATTGATAGCACAAAGTATTGTCTATAACCTAGGTTTCAGGTAAATCTAAGGGCGTCATATGCTCAAAACCTCCACACAACAAGAGTTCTCATCTCAAACTACAGTGACATTGTGGCTTATTCATAAAATATGAGATTGGGCATATTTCACCACATTAGTAAGGGGAAGTTTCTATTTTGAATTGGACACTACTATTCAATATGAATATGTTTAGATGTTAGCCTGGCTCATTTGGTAGCAATCTTGTCTCTTAGTTAGAAACGTAGTGTAGTGACTGTGTGTATTGTGGGTGAAGTGGCAACTAATTTGTGCTCAGGAATGTCTCTTCTGAAGTACGGCACCTCCAACAATGCAAAGTTCTCCTCCATCCTTTATTGGAAAGTCAGAGTAGACTGTGAGTTTAAAGTCCTAACTTTGATCTTGAACAACAACAACAAAGTGCATTTATATAGCGCCCTTCACTCAGGGTAGTGTCCCGGAGCGCTCGAACCCACAACCTTCTGAATTTGAAGCAAGAATGCTTCCGTCTGAGCCATCTGACACCCTCTAATTCCAAACTGACTTAGTGGAAACGTTGAACAAAAACATCATTAAACTTCTGAAAAAAACAAATGGGTGAAAGTGCTGAGCGGTGCTGCACGATGTGACACAACAGAAGGTTGTGAGATTAAATCCTGGCCTGCGACTGAGATCCCTACCGAAATCAGACTGGATTTGGGTTCTAAAGATGATTAAAACTTTTAAATCACTGATATTATGCGCCCACTTAGTCAGCCAACCAGTGGAAAAAATTGATTTCACATGGTGAAATAAATTCCATCAATATATCTGACTTTAAAAGAGCTTGGGGGAAGGCGAGTGTGGGGGTGGTCAGCAGAAATCATGGGAGTTACAAATCCAGCAATATCTATTTAGCTTCCTGTGTCACAGCAGTTGAATCCGGAGGTGGCATGGAGACTCACTTTTGAAAGTGTATTATAAATTTTTTTGTTATTGTGGAGCACCTTCAGAAAGTATGAAGTGGGTTGTTTCACCACATTAGTAAGTCTCTAATTTGAACCGGATGCTATTGAACACGAATATGTTTCCAACAATTCATCTTTAACAACATCAAGTTTTGGATTATGCCCGTGCAAAATGTTTTTAAGCGGTTCACAGGATATTCAGTATCACAACAACATGCACTTATATATCACCCTCCACGCTGGGTAGCGTCTAGGTAGATACTGTGTGTTTTGTGGGTGCATCACAGCACTAATTGGACACAGCAATGTCCAAAACAACCATGAACTGAATGACCAATTTTATTTGGGGGATTGTTGACCAGGACCTGAGGAGAAACTCTGTTCACTTTTCAAATAGAGCCGTACGAACTTTAATGACCACCTGAACAGGGCTGGTTCAACCCTGTTCATTCCAGAGGACAGCATCTCCAACCATGCAGCACACCTCCAGCACTGCATTGGAGTGCCAGTGTAGACTATAATGAGTTCCAAGTCACAACATGGGGCTTGTACTGAACCTTCTGACTCAGAGACAAGAGCGCTATCAATTGAGCCAGGCTGACATTGTAATGCATGTGGATTTGTTTTCTAAAATTTATGCTGAGCTGTGCTATTCACCAGGAAGCTCACAAGCATTCCTTGTGCTTCTTATCCATCTGATGAGGGATCAAACCTGGGCTTGTCAGAATTCAAATGATCAACTAGTTCCATCCTTGGATGGGAGAGAACCAAGGTTTCTTTGAGGTCGAGCTGACTTCAAGATGTGCATGATAAAGGAATGTCGAAATCAAGTCTACCCTCTGCGGTAGTCTCAGTTGTCCAGTTCCTGACCCAAGTTGGTTGCTGATGATAAACAGGACCAAACACCGGGTCAAGGATTCTTCCCAATCAACTCTGGTAAACTTGCAGGCCAAAGTCCTCATGGCTTAGGTGTATGGTGGGCAAACAGCAGGATTTTTGCCATACAGTGCTCTCAATGGCAAGCTATGCAATCTTAGCTGGTTAACCTTCAGCAGCACTCCAATGCACACCATCTTTGCCAATCTGCACCTAATGTTCTCCTGAATTAGGGAAGCAGAGTGTATCCCTCCAGGAAGAGAGTGCAAATTTCATTCCAGACACAGAAATTCCCATTACAGTTGGCATACCAATGTGGGTCTCAATGTGGTCTGGTTTGGTTCGTACTAAGCATGTTGATCGGTTTCCACATGTCAGACCACAGACGAGCCAACAAAAAGGTATATTAACCAACTTGTTTAAACAGCAATATCTTTAAAGACAAGAGTGTATTTGTCAACAATTTGTCAAGAGTATACCTGCTGTGCATTATGCACTATTCAGACAGGATGGCAAATAGCAACTCAAAATGGTGAATAGCAACTGCTTCCGATAATCCCTCTATATGAGGGCAAGTTGTTGTTTTTGTTGAGCGTTCCCAATGAATTCTGTTCTTATTTCAGATTTCCAGCATCCGCGGTATTTTGACTTGTGCAAAGATTATTATGATTATTTTGGCACAATCAATCACATACACGACGGCAATTCTGCTGATGAATTTCTGCTGATGGATCTCTGCACAGGTACGTACATCTGTTCAGTTTAAAGTTTCTAAAAAGCTACAGTCCATAAGTCTGACTGTTCAGAACGAATGATGCATCAAACTACTTCAAGGTTATCCCGAATTTGCTCAACAGGTTTCAAAAATGCACGCCTAACATTTGAATGGAATTGTCGATCTAAGGTTTCAAAATATTTTTAATGAAAGCAACATATTTTTCTTAATCTGGATATAGATTGTATTCACCATTTTCTCTCCTTCAGGAGAGACACAGAACAAGTTCTGCGCCATTTAGTTTCCCCCAATTTGTTTCTCTCTCTCCTCTGCTGAACGCGAGTAATGGATTTGTTGAACAGAAACTCTACATTTGGTTGACAGTATTAATATAGCTTTCATCTGATAACCTCACACCAAGCTGAAAAAGTGTGAAGTATTTGAATAGCATTTGTATTAACATATCCAATACAGATATACAAAATGTTTATGGCGCAATACAATTAAATCATTTTGAATCAAAATGGCATTTGCTGATAGAGTTCAAACAAAAAGGGAAGTTTTAATCACATCGCATCTTGTTTTGAGGTTCAAAATACCCTTTATGGTAATTAATCACTTTTTTTTAAAAGCCTTGCTACATTTTCCCATTGTGAAATTGAAACTCTAGAGATAATGTGACTCAAAACCTTTCATTATTTTTGCTGCAGAGTGGGAAAAGTAATGCCCACCTGTCCATTCAGATTTTGCTAAGGGGACCTTCCCTTAGTTAGGGAATTTTTGCATGAGACCTGATTTAAGCACATCGTTCCCTGACTTCATATCAAACTTTTGCTGGCTCAGAGATGATCTGTAGCAGAATATCAAGGTGCATCTGTTCAAACAGTAGAATGCTGAAATACACAGTGCTCTGGTCTGTTTTGATCCTCTTAGTTGTCTCTGAACAGAATGATCTCTGCAATACGAAGGAGCTTCAAAGAGATGTGAAGCTTGCCATTCAAACTTCAACTCCGGTAATCTACTGAGCATCACTACTGCTATTTTCTATTTTTTTTTGTTAAATCAGGCATTTCCTTTCCTAACTACAAATAGATATCGCAGATTTGTTAATTGTTTTATTTCTCTTTTTAATTCAGATGACACAAATGTTTCGAACCCCGATCAGTTTTCAGGTGAGATTTAGCGTCTTCTCTTAGATTTCTCAATCTGTATTTAAGTTTGATCTGTCTAATATACAAATGTTATTTTGTATTGTCTAATAGCTTTCTGCGTAGAAGTCTTGGTGAAGATTATGTATCCTCCATTAATGAGTCACAAACATAACATTGATAGATTTTTGGTAGATCAGGGTATTAATGGATATGGGGAGAAAGTGGGAAATTGGAATTGAAGGCATTAGTTGATCAGCCACGATCTAATTACATGGTGGAACAGGCTCGAAGGGCCTCCTGTTCCTAACAAAATGAGAAATATAGCGCCTATTTTGGCTGTGCCTCTTAAAATTGTGTTTTTTTTTCAATGGTAAATTGGGTGTCATGTCTGTCATTTGACAAACTGCACTGGCCCTGTGAAAACTCTGTTAGGTGTATTGTATGCTATTTTTTTTTACCCAGTCCAAATAAATGACTTTGCTTTTTTTTAAGCTCCACAAAAATTGCAGCAACAGCACCTTCAATTGTTTCGCACGTCAGATTACTTCGAAGAACTTTTCTAACTTTACAGGCCCTCTGAAGACATTAAGGAAAACAATTAAAGAATGGAAACCTGTTTGTCTGGTGAGTGTGCCGACTGTGTACTGTATATTGCTGTCAACTAAAAAGATGCCAAATTTAAAAGATAGAACTTGAACCCTCTAGAACCTTTCCAGCAAATATCCCGTATTTATTTAAAACAAGAGCAAAATCCGCTCTGCACATTCAATTTCCTTAACAACTGTTCACCAAAAGTACAACAGGCACTCAACTCACTCTGCCATTTAAAGACATTTCTATGAATGCAAACTGTGTCAACGGGGCTAATTTATTCATCCTCTGGCAGGAAAATTGTTATATCTTTCCTGCTATAAATTGTGAATGTTTTTTGACAAAACTTGTTTGCGGCAAATGTTTATTACTCGATTTTGTGGCTTTCAGAGTACACAACAATTTGCATTATTGAGACACTTTCACAGCACATTTCAAGTGGCTTCGAAAAGTTGACAGGGAGCTGAGATATGTCTTAAAAGTAGATTTGAAAGCAGACCTGTGTTTGCTGAGTGAAGGGAGCATTTGAGACAGGAGGTGCAGGAGGTCCGCAAGGGGTAGGGTAGAACAAGGCATTGGAGAGATTTCAAAGTAAGATTGATGCTCTTGAATTTGATCTGCTTGGTAATGGTTTGGCCAGGGAAGATGAGGAAAGATGGCTGTGATTAGTTCACGTGTCGTGGTTCGAGCGGGTTCATGGACTGCAGAGTTCTGTAGGTCTGCGGATTGTATAGGGAGGAACTAGGGAGTCTGGTGATCAGGGCTTCAGAATAATAAAGCTGGACGTGATGAAGACATGGATGAGAATCTTGGCAGCCAGAGGAGAGGTAGTGATGGATGTGTACCATGTTTTGGAGGTGAGAGAAACAGATGTGAGCTTGGATGAAAGGCTTGAAGGGCAGTTGGGGGGGAGGAGGTTGAACGACATTTATAGGATTTTAGAAAGGTGTTAGAAAACTGTGACAAATTCATGGAAGCAGACTGGTTTTCCAACAAACCACACGTTAATATCAATCAAATCAAAATTGGAATTTTATGCAATGCAAGGAGTGGAAAAACACCAATTTGCAATAGCAATTGTACTCCGTTTCTACGCCCCTTCCTTCCAGATTGAGCTCCCAATCGGCTGAATGAAGCTCGCATTGAGAAATCCTCGCGACATGAAAGGTTCTATATAAATGCAAATTATTGTTACTACTTAGAACCATATCTTGTAGCACCGGTTTAACACGGGGGATGTGTGTGTGTGTGCGTGTGTGTGAGCGAGCTGTAGTATTTAATTATGTTCCTGAGTTCTGAGTATTTTTCTGCCTTCTTTAAAATCCCTTGCCAAGCATTCTTTATATTACTCATTGCAAAGTCACCATGATTTGACCTCCCCACAGTGCATTGAGTTCAGTAAGTTCAGAGAGCACCATCTGGTGTCCATGTTACCATGTGGGGCAATGCACAAAATACCGACCGGATTTGTACTTATTGGCGCATTTCATTCATTCATGCCACAAATGTCGCCTTGATGCAGGTGATAGGATTTCAGTGATGTGAATCGGAAAGGCCGGAACAGGCAAATCAATTTTTTTTAAACAAAGAGTGAAATTATCACTCTGGTAATCCTAAGAAATCCATTTTGGAATTGCATCAGGAACCACTGTCCCTGGATGGGTAGCAGTTCGGACTCCTATTACACCAGCTTGTGTTTAAAAACACGGCACGACAAGGAATAATCTCCGCCCATACTTGTGCCAAGTCACAGGAACAGCACGATGCATGTGCCCGAGCCAAGTGTAATCCGTCAGCAAATGATGATTGCGATGTTTTTAGGAAGTGACCAATACAAGTGGGTGAAAGACACTTTTTGATTGAACCACAGATCCCTTTCGCAGTCAAATTTCTGACTATGTTTGGCTAGTGTACGATTAAAGTGTATTTTTAGCTCACGATGCACAGCAACACAAATGCTGTCAGCCTTGGGTCCTCAAAACCACTTGTACATTCTCAGCACTATGACATGTCAACACTAAAGTGCGTTCACCTAAAGTCATGCTTCTGATGTGGGTACAGGGTTTCACTTCCACAAACTCTGTTGCCAATTATATGTATACCGCACAACAAATTCACTTTAACGCGCTTAGAAAAGGATTAAATGTACAAAGCAAATGACAACCAAATCAGGGTTAATAACGTTCTCTTCTTTTTTTCAAAGACAGATTTGAAATATTTTGAGAAAAGATCCGCATGATGCTCGTGGATCAATAAAAACGTATTAATTAATAACAATAATAATAATCTTGCACTTGATATAGTGTTTTCGGGTCGGAAGTACTTCTCAGGTTTACTGTGCAGTGCAGTGACTGCATTTTGTAGGCCAACACGGAAGCCAATTTGTAGCACTTAACTACAAAATATACAGTCAATTCACTTTACAGTATATCCTGTGAAACGCTTTGGGACTTCTCGAAGACGTGATAAGGCGCTATATCAGATGCAAGTATTATTATGATTACCCAGTGTCAGAGATGAGAGTGATCCAAAATATGCAAGACTAATACCTAAATATTAATATTTTTGTTAGTGTGTAATCGGGGCATATAATTGAACGAGTTTCACTGAAGCCTAACTCTTCCCTTCAATAAGAACTGTTGCAATGATCTTTTTTCAGCAGACTCAGGTTTCTGTGTACCTCAATCCAGCAAGCACTCAAACAAAATGAGTGCAAATATGAAGTTGCAAATAATGCCACATTCATAATAATTTAAATATTCTTTCTGATCAGAAAGTAGAAGTCTTTGTAAAATATTCTGTGTATGTTACGGAACGGGTGAAGAAAAGCTATTAATGATAAAAATAATATTTTTCAGGATAAGAACACAACTGTACCATCAGGTTGCACTCAATGCAAGAAGTACAGAAAACAGAATGTCAAACAATTCTTGGAAAAATTTGAAACATTTCTAATATTAAGAAAGAAGGAAATGTAACAACGTAATGTTTCTTACTTGCAAAATTAACTGAATAATTTATAAACCTATTCTGTCTATTCTGTTTGTCACATATTTAAAATTATAAAACTTTGCAAAATAAAGGTTTTATGTAGAAATGTAATTGTTTTGGTCTTTTTTTAAAAAAAAATAGCCTGACATTTTAGATAAACCTATAAGGTGAATATCAAAGCTGCAGTCCTGCCTGCAAATATCAGTTCGCAAAATACTGATTTTACTCAACTTTAAAATGAACTCTCCAAGGAAATCAGTGGCTGGGTTGAAGTTCATGATAAGGAGTAGGTTTTGCACGTCTGTGACAGAGCGAGTGCCAGATAGTCCGAATGTTATTTTTTAATTCCATCTTTTTTTACACGTGTTCTTATATTTATTCTAACCCACATTACTACTTGGAGCCATGCAGAAAGATTGTAACATACTGTATAGTCAAACAGATGAACACCTGATGGACAAAGCAGCGGTACTGTAATACATTTTAATGCAGTTCAATCTTCATTCAACCACGATCATTCTGACAGCAACACAAATCAAATGCAATGCTTCATTTAAAAAGCTCAATATTAAACCACTCTACCAGCTGACAACCAGTTACATTTAACTTTGTGATTTATTCAGAAGCACACATCATTTCACCTTTGTTATACACACTCCACGCTATTTTCACGTTATAATGAAGCCTCATGTCTCATTACGTGGAGTCCTGTAGCCCAGTGGTTAGAGCACTCGCCTTGCAAGCGATAGGCCTGGGTTCGATTCCCGGAGGGGCGAAACCTTGGGCCAGTTTCCTTACTGCAGAAACCCTGGGCAAGTTTCCTTATTCCACACCGCTGATTAATAATCCCTCAAAAAAATATACACAACAATTTGGTCACTCAATCCACAACTGTTTGTGGGACACTGCTATGCGCAATTGGCTGCTGCATTTTGCCCACAAATATACAGTCAATTCACTTTACTCTTTCATTTAGTTTCATTTCTCTTCAACCAAGATTTCGATCACTCTGCTTCCCCCCCTGCCCTCCACCCTCCCCCCTCCCCAGCTCGGGTCTGAAACACTGACTGTCCAGCGCCCTGGAACGTACTCCCAACATGTAAGCTGTACAAATGTAATTTTGTTGTTGCTGTTGTTGTCTTTTACAGTATTTTCTGTGAAGCGCTTTGAGACGTCTAGAAGTTGTGAACAGCGCTATATCAAATACGATTATTTGATACGTTTTAATGCATCACCCCATTAAAATTTAGAATAAACATAGACAGAGATAATCAATTACTTCTTTTTCAGATAATGAAAAATAGAAACAATGATAGTACAAATGTCATATGATTTACTAAAAGCATTCATGATAAATCAATAAATAATAAATAAATAATAAATAAATCAATAAATAAATAATAATAATAATAATTTGGTCACTCAGTCAATGACTGTTTGTGGGGACACTGCTGTGAGCAATTGGCTGCCGCGTTTCACCCACAAAACCTAGTCAATTCACTTTAGATTATATTCTGTGAAACGCTGTGAGACGCCTAGAAGACGTGACAAGGCGCTAAATTAAAATGAAAGGATTATTATATTACAGTTACCTGAATATTCTTCTCCCATTTAAAATTGTAATATATACACAATATTTGCACATGGAAACAGCTTGTAAATATTCCACCACAATTATTTTAAAGATTCCATTGAAGCCAATGTATTAACCAACCACTACAAGCGATGTATCACACACTTAGTTCCTGAAGGGCAATCCTGTGATTCTGAAATAAAGTCTTCATTGCAGAACAAAGCTGTCTTTTCTGTGATGCAAATAGCAAGAAATAAATGTACAAGAAGAATTTTTGTTTTATCACTGAGTCCATCTCTTTTTGAATCCTATCTGCAACTATTGCAACTTTCTATGAGAAATTCGACTGCCTTATCACAAACAAGATGCTAACTGTTTTTATCACATCTTGTGGGGGGAGGTGTGTGTGTGTGTCTGGGCGTGTTTTAAAAAAGCCAGTGTTGCATCTAATTTTGCAAGTGCCTGAATTGGAGAAACAAAATTGTATTTGTATTGTCACATCAGACTGAGTATTACCTAACTACTTTTCAAAGAAATATTCACTTTTAGGAAGTTCATTTGGTTAGTGCAAAAGCCTATTTTGAGAAAACTGAGAGCTACAATCGTTTTGATGTGAGAAAGTAATATTTCCATTATCACAAGAAAGCAATATTTCCATTATACACTGCTCCAAACCACAAAGGAATGACAGGCCCTGCTTATCTTAAGTTACAAATGGCAACCCACTTTCAGAAATCCGATTTCAGTTGAGGATCTTTCTCCAGTTTTGATGCCTTTTCCTCTTAACTGGCTTTAACTTTCTCCAAACGACAGTATGTGTATATTTACCAAATGAAACATTAAGAAACATCTACAACTGTATTTTTCCTCCAGAATCAAGAAAAAAATCAAGTGAGTAGAGTCTCGGAGTGCTTCCACAGCATGTTATTGCTTTCTGAAATATTCTTTGTAAACTTTTACAAATTCTGACCTATCCCTTAGCCTTACTGCAGTGAATTCTCAAATAGAAATCTGTCGAAAACCCAATTGATTTGAAAAGAAAACCCAACAACACAAGTTATTAAGATCTTTTTCATGGGCAAGATAGTGGAAACAGTATTGAACTCTTTCCCTTTATTCCAATTAATTATTCTTGGGTTTTCCAGCAGGCTTGGGGACAAATTGTTTATTTACATTTCATTACAACTGGGAGAACCTCAAACATTCATATTCTCATGTTCCAACAACTGAGCAACAAGCCTGAACAGTTAAAGCACAGTCATCAATTTTCTATATAACCATGATAAAATCAGGTTGGGTTTGAAGATTTAGATTTTATCAATAATGCATTTGCAACTACATTCTGCTTATAGCACAATGCACTTACAATGAAAACTGCAATTTTAAAAAAAGAAAATAAATATAACCATCATTACATTTCTGACTCAGGTCAATTTCACCCAAGTTTCAGCACATGCATTCCTTAACAGCGGAAAGTAGAAATGCACATAGAGTTAATAAGATTTAAGAACGATATGTTAAGGAGACAGTTCTTATAGCAGATGTTCTATCACTCAACGGCACATTATTGACAGTTAACGATACACAATCACTTCGAACAGCTGTAATGCCACCAGTGTTTTCTTACTCACCCTTTCCAAGATTTTTATCCCGTGTGATTATGCAAACTAACAGCAGACAATGATGATTTCAGTAGTCAACCAATTACATGGAGCGAATGGTACAGCGCAATCTGCTCTCCTTCCTCTAAGAATAGCTTTTAAATAAATCTGTCGAAAACCCAATTGATTTGAAAAGAAAACCCAACAACACAAGTTATCAAGATCTTTTAATAAATATTTCTAGACACTGGACTGACTAATCTAATTTGAAAACTCCCAGCACACCGCTAATATTATTACCAATGCCGCGCCCTGAATGTCAGATCAATCTGTTGATACCTGGTGAAAGAGAGCAATATGCAAATAAATTTACACATAAGCATTAGCACACCCTATAAATGCTTCTCACTCTGCAACAATTAATGAATCGGCTGCCCCATTTTGTCCAAAAAGTACAGTCAATTATTTTTACACTATATTCTGTGAAGCACTTTGAGACGTTTCAAAAATGTGATAAGGCTTTATATCATAGAAATATATATCACATAAATTACCCTAGTAATTTGGTCACTCAATCCACGTTTGCGGGATACTGTTGTGGGCAATTGGCTGCCGCATTTCGCTCATAACATATACAGTCAATTCACTTTACAGTATATTCTGTGAAGCGCTTTGACATGTCTCGAAGACGTGATAAGGCTCTATATCAAATGCAAGGATTATTATTATATCAAATGCACAGATTATTATTATTAAAGTAGAGGTCAGCAAAATTTGGAAAAAATGTCCATTTGGCTGTCCTCCTATGGCATCACAGCCAACCTGAAATGAAAACGACAGCCTAATTTGTTTTTACAAATATCTTCTGTTGTCATCAGCTCCTTAATCCAATGTTCTAAATGGCAATGACAACAATTTTTCTTTCCTCACACATCTTCACACAAGAGATTCTGGTGAAGAGGCCCTTTGGACCATTTGATCTCAGTTTTTCAGAATATCCACCAATCAAGTCATTTCTTAAATCCAGCATCCTGGCCTCATCCTTTCTAGTAATCGGTTCCAATGGTTAATTTTTTTTTTTTTGCAGAAACACTTCCTGGTATATATCCTGAAAATGGCCCTTTGCAATCCTAAAGATGGATCTACCTTGGCACATCTGAAAGTATTGTTCTGGACTAACTTTATTAATCTCATTTAGAATCTTATATGCCTCTGTAAAGACCCTTATCAGATGCCTCTTTTTAAGAAGAGCCCTTACTAATCAAATCATTCACATTGGGTGGGGGGGGTCACCCTTGCTCCTTTCCATTATGTTGTGGCAACCAGAACTCCATGCGTTTTCTAGGTGTACTGTACTACTTGAGCAGGCCCATTGATTTGATAATATAGTTCAGCATCCTGTTTGGAAACATGTTAGGCCAAATTTTGTACAGTTATTTTCCAGGTTGGTTACTGCCTGAATAATGGTAGGGCAAGAGAACAGGAACAAAGTGATAGTCGAGCACAAAAGATTATCGAACTTTCAGCACGTGTGCAGAACTTGAGACGTCATCCGGTAAAGCAGTGATGTCATGGTTTCCCACATGCTCCTGGAAAACAAGATCTTTAAACATTAAACACTAGGATTACTAATTTGATTACTTGCATATCAAATTGTTTTAAAGAGGATTGAAATCCAAGACGCTTTGAGACGGCTCGAAGACATGATAAGGCGCTATATCAAATGCAAGATTATTATTATTGTACTTCTGTATGTTATGGATCTTGTTTATTCTGTGCAGCTGCTTGAAGGATGTCTTTAGTTAATCTGAATACTGGCAATCTGCCATCAACCACAACACACTGACCTACTTCAATGTTATTGTTGAGTGCAAAGTGAAGACCTAATCCTGCCAGGAGTGTTGGGCATTATTGGGATTAAAAAAAATCCTTGCATTTGATGTAACGCCTTATCATGTCGTCGAGGCGTCTCAAAGCGCTTCACAGAATATGCTGTAAAGTGAATTGATTGGATCTTCTGTGGGTGAATTAATAATAATACACATTAAATATTAATTACATTATATAATGATGCTATATTAATTACAATACAATATAATGCAATTCACATCTGAACATGAAAGATTAATAGGACGTCTCTCTTTATCTTTCCTATTAAGATGTGAATTATGTTTTCAATCCAACTGAACCTTTTTCTGAACAACAACCAGAACAGCAGATGCACAGTTGTACAGCGCCCTTCGTGTCAGGAGGACGTCCCGAGGCGCTGGACAATCAATGGTTCGCACCCGAGCTGGGGGTCGGGTTCGAGGAGGGTGGAGGGCAGCTGGGGGTGGCGGGGGGGGGGGAGGTGACCGAAGGCTGGTCTTGAAGGAGGTGAGGACATAATATTTGGTGGGGGGTGGTTTTCGCGTCCCAGCTTTCTCTTTCTTCTGTTGGAGCGCGTCGGAGAAACGTAGTTGGATGTAGGACGATCGATTCTTCCCCCTCCCCTCCCCTCCCCACCCCACCACGACCCCCTCCCCGCACCCGTTTAGAACGAGCAAAGTTGTTCAGTCTTCCACTTATCGGCATTTTTGGGGGGGAACAAAGGTGGAGCCCTGTCGCTCGGCGGGTCACAGAGCGCTCGCCTCCAACCACGCGAAGCCAGAGGACCTGGGATCGATTCCAGGGGGGGACGGGGACGGGGTGGGTGGGTTGGGTGGGGGGGGAACACGACGATGACAGGGCCAAGTTCCCCGACTCCGCGCCCGCGCCTCTGCGTTTCCCGGCACCAAGTAGGAACTCAGCGGTTAAGTCGACTGGCGTATCGATTTCTATTTCCCCCCCCACCCCCACCCCCGGGGACGGCGGGGGATTGGGGGTTGGTGGGTTGGTAGTGGGGGGGTTTATAACCTATAATCCCCTTCGCAAACACAGTACGATGATAACACGTGGAGTCCTGTAGTGGAGTCCTGTAGTGGAGTCCTGTAGTGGAGTCCTGTAGCTCAGTGGTTAGAGTACTCGCTTTGCAAGTGAGAGACCTGAGTTCAATCCCAGGCAGAGGGCGAAACCTTGGGCAAGTTTCCTTACTCCACACAGAGCCTAATAATAATCCCTCCAAAACCCAAAACAATAATAAATTGGTCATTTTCAATCCACGACTGTTTGTGGGACATTGCTGTGCGCCATTGGCTGCCGCGTTCGCCCACAAATATACAGTCAATTCACTTTACAGTGTGTTTTGTGAAGCGCTTTGGGACGTCCTCCCGACGTGAAAAGCGCTATATCAAATGCAAGGATTATTATTATTATTATTATTAACACTGACGCGACTCGCTCAACGGTGACAGGTTCGTGGCGACCACGGCCGTAAATTCCGCAAAGCGCCTCAAAGGACCCGACACGATGATGATCATTAATAACAACAATTAATAACAATAACAACAACAACCCTCACGTGGATGGACGACCGAGGATCACATTGCGAGTGGCGACGCACAACCGCTTCCCGGATCGCTTCGCATCATTCCGACTAAAACCGGATCCCCCCCCACCCACCGGCCCTCGAAAAAAAATAGGGTCGCGACACTCACTTTGCTTAACCGTGGTCCTATCGAATAATGATCCCATAATAATCCCATATAAAAAAAAACCCTATAATAATAATAATAATCCTGGCCACGCGCGCAACGCGAAGCCCAGAGAGGGGGCGGGGGCGCGGCGCGGCACGTGACAGCGGCCGTTGACATTCAAATCAAGCGGCTCGTGGCCCTGGTTTGAATGTCAACGGCTCGGGGGCGGGGCCGGGGACGGTCTGAGAACTGCGCCTGCGTCAACGCCCCCCCACCCCCACCCCCACCGTGGCCCGTCGCCGATCTCCGCGTCGCGGTCGAGTTGACGGCTGAGGAAACTACGGCGTCCAGAATGCACCCCGCTTCCGCTTCCGCCTGCTCCTCCACCTCCTCCTCCTGACGTCATCGGATCCCCCCCCCCACCGCTTTCCGGGTTACTGAGGGAGAGAAGGAGGCGGAGGCGCCTGAATTTGGATCCCGCCCACCTGGCGGTCGCGGATTGGCTGATCACTCCGCAGCGCTTGGCTGGATTGGCTGATCCGCACGCACGTCAATCAGAGAGCGAGGGAGAGGCGCGCGGGGGGCGGGGGGAGCGCGGCGGAAGTGCGTCACCCGCAGAGTGATGCCGGTCTGCCGTGTGGCGGTACCCAGGAGGCAGTGCAGCGCTGTGTGTGGCGCAGTTGAGGGCTGTGGAGTAAATAAGTAACGTAAGCAACAGCCATTGTTGTTGTTGTTGTTATTATTACCGTTGGTATTTATATATGATAAGAGGATAAATGGACAGTTACTGTACAGGAGACAATATCTACCGCAGCGGACAAAGCGGGGGGACGCAGTAAGTTTTTTTATAAAAAGGTGGGGGTTGTTGCCATGGGGCCGGGGGGGTTGCCATGGGGTCGGGGGGGGGGTTGTTGCCATGGGGGCGTTGCCATGGGGACGGGGGGTGTTATTGCCATGGGGGTGGGGGGTTGTCATGGGGCGGGGGAGGTGTTTGTTGCCATGGGGGCGGTGGGGGGGGGTTGGCCGTGGGGGTGACGGGTGGGGGAAGGTCGCCGTGTGGGTCGCGAGGAGGAGGGGGGTGTGGGGAAGGTTTTTACCGGTGGTGGGTGGGTGGTGCCTGGTTAGGAGGTGGGGGATGCTGCGGGTTCCCTGAGGGAGTGGGGGGGGGTTGGTTTGTGTGGGGTGGGAGGTGCCAGGGGTTTGGGGGAGGGGTTGGCTTGTGTGAGGTGGGGGTGCCAGGGGTTTGGGGGGGGGGAGAGAGGGGGGGAGGGGTTGGCTTGTGTGAGGTGGGGGGTGCCAGGGGTTTGGGGGGGGGGGGGGAGAGAGGGGGGAGGGGTTGGCTTGTGTGGGTGGGAGGTGCCAGGGGTTTGGGGGGGGGGAGAGGGGGGGAGGGGTTGGCTTGTGTGGGGTGGGAGGTGCCAGGGGTTTGGGGGGGGGGGAGGGGTTGGCTTGTGTGGGGGTGTACCTCTGTAGTGATGCTTAGATTAACAAATAACATGTCTGGAGTTTGTCCTTCTTATCAGCAATTAACCCTGAAAAAAAGCTTCTTTGGGTGGGGGGGACCTGCTCACGTGACTGCAGATTTATTTATGTTCCAGTAATCCCTTAGCATTCGCGAGTCAAGAAACTAGAAGCGCGAACGAGTGGTGATTAAAATTATCGCGGTTTGTCGGGGCAGCGGAAGGCCCCGCCTGTAATTTTTAACTTCCAATTTCTAACAGAGTTTTCAAGATGGCGAACCATCTTCCGGAAAGAGTTGAAAGTCACATCACATAAAGACCTCGGAGGTATTAAAAAGCGCCGTTTGTGTTTACAGTACTCGAGGCTGAAAAATCTCTCGTAACTCTCTTTGTGTTTCATTAATAGAAATGGAGTCCCGTGGCTCAGTGGTTAGAGCACTCGCTTTGCAAGCGAGAGACCCGAGTTCAATTCCCGGCAGAGGGCGAAACCTTGGGCAAGTTTCCTTACCCCACACAGAGCCTAATAATAATCCCTCCAAAACCAAAAACAATAATAAATTGGTCATTTTCAATCTACGACTGTTTGTGGGACATTGCTGTGCGCAATTGGCTGCCGCGTTCGCCCACAAATATACAGTCAATTCACTTTACAGTGTGTTCTGTGAAGCGCTTTGGGACGTCCCGACGTGAAAAGTGCTATATTAAATGCAAGGATTATTATTATTATAATTGGTTTCTGAAGAATTGTTGGACCGGGCTTGTGCGGTAATGTGGAGAGAATGCTACCTTCTCGAAGATTTACGGGGGACGAGGGGGATTTTTACCTGCGACTGAATATCAAAGGTTAAGATGTTAAATTTAGAATATTAGCCAGTAAATTTGGGTACAGTGAATTTATTGCTTTTTAGGTGTAATTATTTTAAAATCTTGCATCCAAGTTTTAAACGTCTCATTGGGGGGATTTGGAGGAAATGCACGAATTAAGTTGCTCGATGATGAGTACAAGGACTAAAAACGTATTTGGAAAATTTTAAATCCTCAGACACACAAGGTCATAGCTACTGTTTAAATCTTGATTGTACTGTTAAGTTGTAGGATATATTTGTATGGGTCTAAAAAGACTTGCATTTTGTAAAGTGCTTTTCATGCAGAGTGATGTCTCCAAGCGTTTTACATCACTGACTACATTGGCTGCCTGTTGCAGAACGGATCGATTTCAAGGTCCTTGCTCTCACTTTCAAATCTTGTCACACCCTGACACCTCTGTACTTCTCCGATGTGTTCACACACCCTCTGCTACCCACCACCTTCACTCAGGAGGCTTAGGTCTTCTGCACATCCCTTATTCCCTCCGCTCCACCATTGACTGCTGTGCGTTCAGACTGTATGTTCCAATTCTCCGGAGCTCTCTGACTTGCCCATCTTCAAATCACATCTAAAGATTTTCCTCTTCAACCATCTTTCAGTCACCTGCCTTCTCTTTCTAGATGGGGTCAAACCACACCACTGTTATGTGCTCCAAGATGCTACCTGCATGAAGAGCGCTGTATAAATGAAAGTTTTTGTAGACCGACCTATTTATCACTCTTCGTAAAAAGTCTACTGCATGAATCACCTCTTACACCAGATTGAAGCAGACATATTGATAGTGTTTTGGAGTTCTTTGCAATTGATCTTATTTGTCTATGTTTAGAGAATGACTAAGTGAAGAATGTATGTGTATTCAGGTAGGCAAACAAAAACAGAAGTTGCTAGGAACCCTCAGCAGGTCAGGCAGCATCTATGGAGAAAGGAAAGTGAGTCAACGTTTTGGGTCCATGATCTTTCGTCCGTTGACTCACCTGCTGAAGATTCCCAGTGACTTCTGTTTTTTGTTTTCAGATTTCCAGCATCTGCAATATTTTGTGTTTTGGTTGTCCATTGCTTTCTTAACTTGACTGAGAAAATAAACGTCCACCAAATTCCAATAATTGAGTGAAGAATAACTATTCTAAAATTTATTTTTCAGTTTCATCTTGTATAACGTGTGCAGCTGAATTAATTCAGGAGTGATGTAAGTCACATTCCTTTTTTTATTTTTATTTTTTATAGCATTCCTTGTTTTTTATTTATAAAAATAATCCTTGTATTTGATATAGTGCCTTTCACCACAGGAAGATGTCTCAGAGAGCTTCACAGGATTTCATTGTAAAGTATAGTGATTGTATAATAGTAATGCCTACATTACTATTATGCATTTCATATAAATGTTATTTAGTATGTTGCTTTACTCTTGATTTAAGCTTGAGGACAGATGTGGCATCTCGCAGTTATAGTTTTAAAATAAATTCCCTTCAGCTAATCTTGATTTCGTAAACAGTTGTAATTCAGTATTTCATTATGATTGATTACTATTGATTTCACTAAAATGCTCTCTAGTTATACTTTCTGTGCAAATAGAGTTTAAATAGCATTCCAGTTCATCTTTTATAGTATCAATGAATGAACAAAATAATCGGAAGTACCTCCAGTTTCACATGCTTAGTAACCCAATTCAATGCCATATATCAAATACCAATGATGATTGGTCAAAATTATGACCTGGTTGTCTTAGCAAGCTTTCAGGCCTCATTATAAATTGGCGGATCAGTTTGTTAATCCTTTTGCGTCACCAGACACGAGAGGATTTCTATTCAGGATCTGTGCATAGCATGAGTTTGTCTGAACTGATAACCTATCTCCAACTTGCCCTTTTTTTTCTAAAGAGCTGAATTACAGTCACACCTGTTAAAGTAGCCACCTCTGTTCAGCAATCACCCTGGAACAGTCCTAACCGATTTTCCATAATAAGCCACCTCTATTCAACAGCCACCTGTGCTCACTTTTTTTTAGCTCCATCAGTGTTTCACCGTGTTATAACATTAAAAGAAGACTTGTTCGACCTGATTCTAGATCATCTGATTGCCACTTTCTGTACATTGCAGGAAGTGTACTTTGTGCACATAAATGATGTTGCAGGAAATTATGTCAGCAGGTACCTCAAAGTACTGCAATTTAGATTTCCAGAAGCCTGGAAGATTGTAATGCATAAAAACGGAACAAATCTGGTCAAATCTTGTCTGAATTTTGAGAAATGTAGACCTTCTAAAATTACTGTTGAACTCCTTTCCCATCAGAAATCATAATCTCATAAGAACGTAGAACAGTTGCATGGATCGTATTTAGCACCTATTTATTTACTGAGAAACTATTAATGCCATTATTATTTTATAGAAAAAAGTAACTGATTGTTTTTGGAATTGGTGCAGCTGTAATGTTATCATTCTGGAGGATCTGATCTTTCTGAAGTGAACTCGTATTGGGAGAAACAAAATGGTGGTTTCAAACTGCTTTTTGAAAAAAATAAGACTTGTATGTTTTTGTACCTCACATTCAGCTGTTGTGTTGATTGTTGTCCAACATGGTTCACTGACCTACATTCATGGCCAAACACAAATCAGCTCTGAAGTAAGCCAGTTCACAGCTAAAAATCCTTTGTCAATGAACAAATGTCTTTGAATTGATAGAATCAATGGTAATTTCCTCTTGTTTCACATTAGTATGATATGAAAGGTTAGTTATTCAATTAGTTGCAGTAATGGGTATTGTGTTCATTGTGGTTTAACTGTTCGTCTAACTGAAGGTAAAACTTTGTATTTTTTAAATTAGCAGACATATGATTACATATTAGTAGTTTTCTTTTACAACAACTACTTGCATTTATATAGCACACTTTAAGCAGGGTAGCCTCTTGGAGTGCTTAACAGTTAGAGCCAGCGCCTTGGGACATCCTCCCGACGTGAAAGGTGCTATACAAATGTAATTTTATTGTTGTTTGTTGTTAGAGAGAGGGGACCCGAGTGTCAAATGCCGATGGCGGGAAACAAGGGATGTGTAGTAGGCTACAGCCAACAAAGCGAAGAGTATGGGATTGTGGTGTAAGCAGGTCAGAACATGACAGAGATGCCAGAGCATGAAGTGATCTTAAGAATAATATTTTTACTTGGGTGAACCAAGAAAGTTGGACATGATGGAATGAATATTTAACCTGGTTCTGAATATGGTACAAAATCAAAGTACTTTCTGGAAAAGTGAATTTGTAGAGGTTCATGAAAACTTCCTGTGACATTTTCTGTTAGGTTAATCAATGTTAACCTGGTTTATCTTTGTTTGTTATTTTGAGGGGGAAAATACCAGAAATGTGATTAATCAATCTCTCCTTTAAAAGTGTTAGTTACGTATTTGGATTGCTATCACACTGATATGAATTGATCTGAAGTGTGATAACATGACATTTTTAAATCTCAAAATTTAAATTAATACTGGATTAGTATCGCAGAGAAATGCAGATGATCATCGGATCCCGTGTTTGGCAAAAGGGAACTTGGTAACTTGCACTGTGTGCCATCGTCTTCAGTTGACCTAATTTTCATTTCTCTAGTATGATGTGAATCTTGATATCTCGGGTTACAATTATCTGCTGGATCAGATGTTGACCTGATCTGACAAAAACAGCTTGTTGATCACTTATGATTGGTTGTTAGTAGGTGGCTAATGTGCAGTTTATATACGAGAAGTTTCTTGAATCTTGGAATTATAGCAGGACCGTTTCGAACAAACATGAACCTTACAGCTGAGTTGATATTGTTTTTTTTGATCTTGGTAACTATAAATTTGGATAGGACGAGAGATTTAAGTTACTTCATGTTTGCAATTGTACGTGTCAAAATGTTTTAAAAAGAATGGAAAAATATTGTCTCCCACCAAATGTCAAAATATTACTACTTATTTTTCGTTTTTCCCCCAGAATGAAGCGCCACATAGTTGAGAATCTGCTCATGTCTGTTGATGAGAACGAGAATAAAAAACAGAAGGCCGGAACATTTGAGCACGTGGAGGATACTGGTGTGGAGTGGGGAAATTTGCACTTTGATATAATTCTGCACATCTTTCAATATTTGCCTTTGGTGGATCGGGCCCATGCTTCTTTAGTATGTAGGAGTTGGAATGAAGTCTTTCACATGCCTGACCTTTGGAGGAGATTTGAATTTGAACTGAATCAACCAGCCACATCCTATCTGAAATCCACCCATCCCGATCTGATCCAGCAAATCATCAAGAAGCACGCGGACCATTTGCAGTATGTCAGTTTTAAGGTAAAAATAAAAATGACGCTTTGAAAACATTTCTACCGCTCACGTTTACAGTGTATCTTCTGTCAAAACCCAAAATGTTTTTAATGAAACGATTCATGCAGGGTGCGAGTACGATCCTGTTGATATTAGTTCACCTCCTGCAGCCTCAGTAAAGTGATCCAATTTAGTTGTTTGAAATCGTGGGCCCGGTTTGCCCTTGCGCATTGCGAATACTGCACAGAAGTAGAAATCTTAAAAGGTCCAGCGTTTCCCCAGCTATAGTTGCTCAGAGTGAGCCAGGTCCATAATATGTAATAATAATAATAATAATAATCCTTGCATTTGATATAGCGCTTTTCACGTCGGGAGGACGTCCCAAAGCGCTTCACAGAATATACTGTAAAGTGAATTGACTGTATATTTGTGGGCGAACGCGGCAGCCAATTGCGCACAGCAATGTCCCACAAACAGTCGTAGATTGAAAATGACCAATTTATTATTGTTTTTGGTTTTGGAGGGATTATTATTAGGCTCTGTGTGGAGTAAGGAAACTTGCCCAAGGTTTGGCCCTCTGCCTGGAATTGAACTCGGGTCTCTCACTTGCAAAGAGAGTGCTCTAACCACTGAGCTACAGGACTCCACAATGTAACCGCATTTGAATGAGCTGTTCAATTTGAGTTCAAGACATTGGGTAAAAGATGAGCTGCCATGAAAATATCTGAGTAAGGAATTACCGCAATTTGCATCAGAAAGAGGGCTACTTCTTATTATCATTATTATTACTTGTCTCTGTTGGTTCGCGGTGATGTGCCACTAGAGGGAAGTGTTGTGCTTGGAAATGTTGTTGCAAGTAACTTTGACCCAATGGAGGAAACAGGCTCGTTGGTTCATATTTCCAGCCATCCGGTCCGGCAAGCTGGAATTTTGAAACTGCTCTCTCAACTGCGGTGCATTTTATGATAAATACAGTGGAAGCCCTCTTATGACACCGGGCTTGGATCCATAAAATCCTCAATTTTTTTTTTTTACGGCTAAAATATGCAGCTGGTTCCTGCTCTAAAGGGAAAAAAAATGGCCCACTTCGGGGTCATTAGGTCCCTTCCAACGCCGCTTCTTGCTTTGCACACGGGCAGCAAAGAGGGTAGTGGTGGCGGAGGCAACCTCGTGACCCTAAAGTCAGCCATTTTAGCGCCAAACCTCCAGTTGGTGTGCAGAAAATGAGTGGGCCATCTGCACGCATGTGCAATGAACAGGGTCCACAACACATCTTACATAATTTGTGGACTGTATTGCACTTATCAAAATACTATCTATACAAATTGCAGCAAATGTTATATGTGGCTTCTCTATAGAACTATTAGATAGATAAATAAATCCGAGTAAAAGTATGATTGACCCAATATTCATGTATTTGTGCCTTTTTTTATTCCTCCCCATTTTAGGTTGATAGTAGCACAGAATCTGCAGAAGCAGCCTGTGATATCCTCTCACAGCTGGTTAACTGTTCCATAAAGACCTTAGGCCTCATTTCAACAGCGAAGCCTAGTTTCATGAATGTATCAAAGGTAATTTTTTTATTTAAATCAAAATCCAGTTTGATAATCTTTGGATGAAGGAAAGATTCTTCGTCTGATACGAAATATTCAACATTATCCTTTTTACTTTCATAGGCACATTTTGCGTCTGCCCTGACGGTGGTATTTGTGAACTCAAAGTCTCTGTCCTCAATCAAGATTGATGATACACCAGTAGATGATCCATCTCTTAAAGTTTTGGTGGCTAACAACAGCGACACCCTGAAGTTGTTGAAAATGAGTAGTTGTCCTCATGTTTCACCTGCCGGTAAGTTCAAGCTTGTGGTCTAGAATATTTACAATACAAATGTATATAGCACGTTTCAGGAGGATATCCCAAGGCACTTGAAGTTTTTAAATATACTGGGTTTGGAAATGAAGGCAGAAAAATTATGAATTGGAAAAGGTCAATCAATATTGCATTTTGTAAAGGCACTAACCAAAGATTTAGAAAGAATGTACAGCACAGAAACAACCACTCAGCCCAAACAGTTTGCTCAGTTGATTCAGAGTACAGCTCCATGCACATTACCCTCTTTATCAGAAGAGTGCCTCCTGCTTTGGTATTTCCATTACTGGCATTATATGTTTGTGAGTGTGTTTGCCAATTTAAGACAAAACCTGGATAGCTGGGTTCTGTGTTGAATTAATCATTGTATCCCTGATGATAGTGTTGTAATTATTAGTAACTAAATTCTATGTTTTGTTCTTTCTTAATTTTTTTTTACAGGTATCCTTTGTGTGGCCGATCAGTGTCATGGCCTCAGAGAGCTGGCACTGAACTATTATCTTCTCAGTGATGAGTTGCTGTTGGCTTTGTCCAGTGAGAAGCACGTTCATCTGGAACATCTCCGCATTGATGTAGTGAGTGAAAACCCTGGTCAGGTTCAGTTCCACACCATCAAGAAGAGTAGTTGGGATGCTCTTATTAAGCACTCTCCCAAAGTGAACATTGTCATGTACTTCTTCCTATACGAAGAAGAGTTTGACCCCTTTTTCCGTGATGAAACACCAGTCACTCATCTCTACTTCGGCCGTGCAGTCAGTAAATCAATGCTGGGCCGTATTGGAATGAACTGCCCTCGATTGATCGAGTTGGTGGTGTGTGCAAATGGCCTTCAGCCTTTGGACGATGAGCTGATTCGCATTGCAGAACGTTGCAAAAACTTAACTGCCATGGGGCTGGGTGAATGTGAGGTTTCCTGCAGTGCATTTGTAGAGTTTGTAAAGATGTGTGGAGGAAGACTTACTCAGCTTTCTATCATGGAGGAAGTACTGATCCCAGATCAGAAATATAACCCGGAACAAATCCACTGGGAGGTTAGCAAGTATCTGGGAAGGGTGTGGTTTCCCGATATGATGCCTACTTGGTAAAGAGCCCTATGCCGGCCAGTGCAGATGTATACTTTGGGAGGAGTCATCAGAGCAAAAGGATGCTTCAAATTACTATTAGCAAAGACTTTTATTGTTATCGTCGTTGATACATATCAGAGTAAAGATGATGGTGAGAAAGATCTGAAATTTAGAAAACTATTGGGGTGAACAGTTTGAATAGATCAAACATTTAAAATCTGTCTAAACGGATCTTTTGAATGTCGCTTTCAAACCTATTGTATGTTACCAGAACCCAGATGAATAATTAAATATAGTACTTACAAATTGTATCCTGCAATGTCTGATGCATTAAACATTGTCTCGGTTTCACTAGACCTTAGATGGCTGCTGTTTGTGGACTTTAGTGAACTGATTTATTTCAACAAATGAAAATTGTAAGATCTGAAGAAAATAACGTTCTAGAAATAAGAGAAATTCCAGTCTGAATAAGATGGAGGGCCCAAGCCCACAAGGCTTTATAGATTCTAAGAATGCTGTATTTTCCTCCTTGAAACTAAAGCTGGAATAACCTACCGACCAACTAACTAATGCCCAGCGAATGTCCTTATTAAATTTATGTTTGCACTTGACATATTGAAGCGTAGGGATGCATATTCGTTTTGAATTGGCGTATGCTTTTACTTCCTCTCTGCTAGGGTTCTGACCTGTGTGCGTGTGTATAAACATATTTACTGATAAAATACCCGTGTTGCCAAAAACTCAATGAATTTGAGGTAGCAAGTAACTGAATTACAACCTTGTGTAATTTGGGGAATATCACGGTCCCAGGCAGCTCCTATTTCTCGCCAATGCCCTCCCTCTCCAGGCACGTCTCAAGACCCTCCTATTCAACTGTGCCTTCGGCCACCTTCCTACCCTCCCCGCCCTCCACCCTCACTGATCTCAAACCCCCACCACCTGCTTGGGTCCAAATCCCTGACTGTCCAGCGCCTTGGGACGTCCTCCTGACATGAAAGGCGCTGTACAAATGTCATTTTGTATTGTATAAATGGAAGTTTCCCAGTTTATGTTATCGAAACTGCAAATGATATTTCTTTAAAATTCTCCATAAGCACATTCACTCTTGTGGAAATCTCTTAAATGACTGTGTTTACGTGTGCTGCAAATGTTCATCTAAACTGATTTTTCTCTTTGTACCAACTGCAAAATAAGTTGTTGTTTTAAGGCAGACTTGTTAGTGAATCGAATTGCAATGCATCATTCAGAATTCATAGGACTCCTACTACTGACTAACTTGTATTCTTGTGTTGAATAATTTAATGTTGTTTTTAAAAAGTTAATGCTTTGCCTTGTCAGAATTAAGCTTGAGATATGTGAGCTGCAGAGTTGGGTTAGCTCATCCAGTATTAAAGTTGACATTATTTAAACTTGGCTCCTTCATGTAAAGACAGTAACTTGCCAGAATTTTCAGTTGCATCAGATATTTAAACGTATACATTTAGGAACTAATAAACGGTTTATAGTTGGTGCAAGTGGAAATCTGACAACTGTAAGAGGCAGCACTCGGAAAGTTGTGGTGCTTGAATATGCTGCTTATTGGAGTTTTGGTTTGAAGTAACTGCAGTGTAGCTGACACTATTAATAAATACCATAGTCATTGATCTATGTGATAAAAGACCGATCTGTTATACTTTAGAAGGTATCACTAACTGAACCAAAACATTTTAGGGCTTCATTTACAATAGGATTTTTTTCATGGCTCAGAGTGTCTGCCCTTTCTTCAACTATTCTGCTTTCAACACCTATTTGATGAGTCAGTGCTGAAACCTCAAGTTAAGTTGTATGTCCAGTTTTGAACTGGTAATTTGTAACAGTATTAACATGGACTCGATGTTAGAGAAAAAAAAACTGGTCGTTTAAACCTTCTGCCAAAAAAATCCTAGTGGTATCCTACTTGTGTGCAAATTAATCTTAAAAACATTGCAAAGCTTTGATTCTGCTTTCTTTACGTTGGTGCCTGGTGTCCATGTGGGTGTGAAAGTAGGTGCCCATGATGTTAGGAGTCTTAAGGTGTACCACGTATCAATTGTGACGCAAGTTTGACTAGGTTAGTCTGAAATTAACAATGCTGTCATTTGCATTGGTCATATTCATATCGCAGCTGGATATAAAAGATGTGGCCAAGGCTGTTTTTCAGAGGATGAGCTTATAGAGCTACTACAGTTATCCAAGTAAGCATGAGATATATATTTTGGGTATAGCCTAATGTTAGTGGTATAGAAGATGAAGGTCATGAAAATAATTTTATCATTTGTGATGGAATTTAAGTTTGCCAGTATTAGTACCACTATGTCTCAGTCTACTCAGTGATACAGGCGATAATACTTATCCTTATTGCATTGAAACATCTCAAAACGCTTCAGGTTTCTATAAAGTGTAGTGACTATTTGCAGGTGAACCACAATATCCATACAAAAGAAGATTGGCAATAGCAAGAGGAAACCTTTCAGATGCACAATAGTAGGATAAAGAACTGTATAGAATTACTACTTACTGGAGATACTGAGTTAGTTGTACACTTGTACAGTTCTGTCAAAATTGTCTTGGTGTTAGCAATACGGCAGAAAAGGGAAGGCACATCAACTTTTAAAATGACTGATGACAATCTTTATGAAATTCATTTACTTTTGGGAATTGTACACTAAAGGTATACCTGTTATTCTCACAAATAGGCTTTCTCTTTGTGCTGTGATTGTTCATGGGTCAACTGAATAATGTAAGACGATTTTATTTTGAGTTTAAAAGTCCATTTCAAAAGCCGTCTCTTGAGAGTCTGGAAAGGTTTTAGCAACTTACCATAGTATATTCAGTTTTTCATATTAGTAGCTACGTGTTAAAGATAGAGATCACCTGACCAGTTTAAGCTTCTTAATTAAATCTGCATTAAGTGTACGAATTTGCAATAAACGTTTTCTTGAAGATAAATTATTCCTACTTCAGTGCTGTTTAAGTTTTACGAAAGTATATTATGTGTATTTTCTTACTGTGGCAAAGTTGTTGTATGTTCAGAGGTCATTGATTTATGATGAGTTCAGGTACTTTATACCTGCTTTAGAAATCAAGAAATGCTTTAAATCATTAAAGCAAGATATATTCTACTTTCTGGCTTATTTTATTTATTCAAGGTTTTTTTTAAATCGGAAGAGAATCTTCACGTGGCAACGAATGAAATGATAAGAAAATGCCCTTCTAGAAATATAGTAAATATGTGATTGTGTTTTGCAACTCTATTAACTGCTTTAAGTAATTATTTAGAAGCCTGAACCAAAGGTCACTAATAGAAAGGTAGGGAGCACACTGCTCTTTCACCTTTTGAATCTGATGAGGCATTGCCAATGGTAAATTGTGCCTCTGATAGAATCAAGATGCAGCTAAAGGTTATGGTGAAATTTTATGATCTTAAACAGTTATGATTAGTTGCATGAATGATGATGTGCAGCTGTATAAGGATACATACTGCAGCCAAACTCTAGTTTATATAGCTGTTTGCTGAGAGTAGCTTTTTCCATGACTCCTTCACTGCATTGCTGGGTGATCCACTCATCCATGTCCATGACCTAGCAGAGGAGCTAACAAAGAGCTCCGAGATGCCGTGCCACACGAAGGGCGCTATATAAATGCAAGTTGTTATTGTCGTCGTCGACATCAGGATAAGCAAAATGCATTTCGCCCCTGCCTGCATGCTTGGACGCTTATTCACTTGAATGAGAGGTGCGGTTACTGATACAATTCCTCTTTGTGAACACTACTTCAACGAATTAGACGATTTTCTGCAAGTTCTTTTAAGACTGAATGCTCTTTACAGACTCGTCGCAGATTATATTGGTTTAAAATAGAGAGACAATTGCCTTGCAATTCTGTCATTGCTCGGTGATGAGGGAAAATATCTTTCCTTGTCACCTAGCAATGACAGAAGGGGAAGGAGCTACGAAAGGTTGAGCATAGTCATCCAGCTACACAGTGCCCAGCCAGGATAGTCCAGCGCTTTGGGACATTCTCCTGACACGAAAAGTGCTGGATAAGTGTACATTGTATTGAACTAACCAATTTGGCAACCTCGTTCACAGTAGCCTTGAACAGTACAAGATGGTTCGCAAAAAGGTTTTGGAAAATGCACGCAGGTTATGGAGTTAATTTATCTTTATTGAACTTCAGGTCACAGTAATGATCTTTAACGGGAACAGTTTGCGCAAATCTCATTAGTGCAACGTATACAACAGCACAGAAAGATTAATGCAAAGATAGTGGTACATTATTAGCTAATTTAAAATAAACCAAATAATGCTGAATTGAATTAATGCCATTGTATCACACATTGACGGTAAACGTGAAGAATAAAAATAATGATAGCCTTATAATAACTCATTGATGGCAGCCATAAACTATTCAGACATCATTAAATTGTGCATCTGCAGCAATTCATCTTCATCTGGAAGAAGTAAAGAACACACGTTTTAAGTGCTGTACCTTTCCAATACACTCGGATTGTTACGACAAAATGTCTGAAGTCTAACATCTGTGACCTGCTGAAGTTGGCCACCTTCATCTTATAAACTCCTCGAGGCATAACTCAGTCGCAGTAAAGAGTCTCCTGCTAAATTGAGAATTAATCTCTGATAAGAGGAGCTGCTTCTGACTATACACACACACATTGCAAGAGACTTATTTATGCCTGAAAGCAGTGATAACTGAAGCAAATGAATATTTGTCAAAAATGAAAAGTTCCCAATCTTAACCTGCTGCCCAGTCTACCATAATGGTTCCTTCGACGGTGCACTTGTAACTCATTAACACTGAAACTGGTGTTAAAAGCCTAAGAAAAGAATTTCAATAGGAATAATACTGCCCTTCCCGTTAATAAGGACCGTTCAAGGATTTTACTCCACTAGTGTAGAAATGTTCATGCCACAAAAAAAGCTACGGAATTTGGTGTGTATTTTAACGAAATGCGTCGTACCCCCAGATTCCATTACTTTTCTAACTATTTGCCCACAAAATACAGTCACTACAGTATATCTTGTGAAAAGGTTTGAGACGTCTTCCCAACCTGAAAGGCACTTATCAAACGTAAAGATTTTTACGTACACTATGTCATTGACAGGTGATTGCACAAAACGTAGTCCCAAATATTTTTTTAAAAGGTTGCTTTTCAATGACGGGCTTTAAGAGTAAATCGAGAACCTGACAATACATTTTCTGTTGCCAAAAAAAAGTACATTTCCAAAGAATCCCTTCTCATTGTTTACAAGTGTGAACTACTACAGGGTGACCCAAAAGTCGTGATGCCATTACAATGTCTTATCTTGTAAGTCTTAACGACATGATGATGTTATGGGCTTTTTTTTTAGATAATAGGGTAGATGATATGACTTGTCTGCAACCAAACTTAGATTGTGTTTTCTTTCTTAGAGTTCAGGTGATCCTTTATCCAAATCAGTCATGGAGTCATTCAATTCCCTGCTTCGTTTGGGTGATACGAATTACACTGCCAAAAAAAAAATTTTAAATCCTACTTTAGCATTCTGTAGAAAATTACAAACACCATATTTTCCATATGAAGCCATTTCCAAGTATTGCGAAAATAATACATGACAAAGTAACGTGGCACTTTCCATCAAACCTCAGACCAGCCTCATAATAGAGAAAAAAAAATGTATTTTTCTACTGCTTCTTCACTACATCAATGTGATGCGGACTTAAAACATTCACCTGAAGAAAACAGGCGGAAAGAACAGGCTGGGTTTGATGTTTTCCCCATCCCCAAAGGATAGAACCTGGAGCAATGTGCCACAAATGCTCTGGAGTGTCAGCTTAGACCAGGGAAGTCCAAGCTTTTGGCTGTTGAGGGTTGGATGCCGGGTTTCAGAAATGTTCACTGGCCACATGAGCAATATTCTACCCCGATTCGCCAGTCCTGTTCCTGGGCATTTTGTACCACATTGGCTCAGACAATGAGTCTCAAGTTCTGATATAATGTTTAAATCTGCAACTTTGTGGTGGACTGAGTGACCAAATTATTATTAATTATTAAAACAAAATTGGGGAATGGATCCGCCAATCAACGGACAACCAGGTTCCCATTTACTGCTGGGTAAACAGAGGTGTGTGGAGTAAGGAAACTTAACCACTGAGCTACAGGGCTCCAGGATGCGAAGCTTCTGCCCTTTGTGAAATTTTCAAAAAAAATTGGATAAGCATGTGGAGAGGAAGGGACAATATTAATAATATTTAACGAGTATGAGAAAAGAGCAGGGATTGGGAATAGGATGGATGGCGTCTTGGAGAAGCAAACACTGACAGAAAATGAATGAGCCTTGTGCATTTACATTTCTACGCTCAAATCGGAAAAATAACAAAAACAGCTATTGTGTGCGAAAGCAGTGTAATGAATCATCAAAAAAACACTTACATTTATATTCTTAGTAAAGACTCCAGCTATGATTAAAACGACAAGTATCACCGGAACAATGATGATTGCCACAATTGCTCCTGGAAAATGAAAAGTTTTGTTGTGAGTCCGCATTGAAAAAAAATAATAATCATAATCAATCCTTGCATTTGAAATGAAATAGAAATTACAATCCAAATATAATAATAATAATCCATTTGATGTAGCGCCTTATCAAGTCTTCGAGTCAATTCTTAAAACTGAATTGACCGAATATTTTGTGGGTGAAACGTAAATTTATATAACACCTTTCACATCAGGAAGGCTTAACTTCCTAAGCACCCGAGCTGGGGGTTGGAGCTGACAGCGGTAGGAAAAGAAAATCGAGCCTATTATGTCAAAGCACTTTGTAATAATTATTATTAAGTGCAAAGTGCATTTTACACAAATGTGACGGCCAATTTGTACCCTAAAAACAGTCAGAAGGTGAATAACCAATTTGTGGCTATTTGGCTATGGACTTCTCTTTTCAACTAATACATCTTTAGCATCTACCTGAATAGGCAGACAAGACCTTGGTTTAACATCTCATCTGGAGACCGAATCATGACAAAATGTCCCCCTGAATAAAAACTATTTCAGAGAACAGCTTATATTATTTTATGATGGTGGGAACCTGTTAACTGCATCTGGAATCTTGTGTGTCTTGTAGGTTTGTGTTATTTATCAGAATCTTTCACGCGTCCTGACTGCTTTGCAAACCCAAATGACACTTATAGAGTGAAAGTGCTGTGTGCAATTGGCTGCCGCGTTCGCCCACAAATATACAGTCAATTCACTTTACAGTATATTCTGTGAAGCGCTTTGGGACGTCTAGAAGACGTGAAAAGCGCGATATCAAATGCAAGGATTATTAATATTATTATTAAAGTCTTATTTTCTGTGACTGATTCCCACGATTCAGAATTGGGACGGAGACACAGAAATATTGCATTGAATGTTTCTTTCAAATGGGATTTTACCAGATCTCTAGATTTTATTAGTATAACATCCTCACCTGAAACACTGCTTTCAATCAAAGACGAGTTCATATTAAATATGGGCATCGTGTTAAAATGATAACTCAGAAAAATAGACAAATATTGGCACGTCAAGTATTTGAAGAACCAATTCCACGCTATTACTGAACTACTAAAGGCTTTACATACAGTAACTGGTTAAATAATAATAATATAAAAATATATAAAATATAAAATAATAACAGTGCTCACATTTGACATAGTGCCTTATCAGGTCATTGAGACGTCTCAAGGCGCTTCACAGGCTGAAGTTTGGACTCTAATCAGCTAAACCAAGATCTTGGTAATATCTCTTCATGTTCAGGGGGACATTAAAGATGTAATACAATACAATATTTTGCCCACAAAATATATACAGTCAATTCAATTCTGTGGAGCGCTTTGAGACGTCTCGAAGGCGTGATAAGGTTCTATACCAAATGCAAGGATTATTATATATTATAAGCCTGGTATACAGGATATACTCTAACTTCTTACCTGAATTCCAATTCTCACTTTTGTTTTTAGTTCTTGGTACTTTTGTACTTCTAAAACTCTGGTGAGTTGTTACAGTAGGAAAAGTGGTTTTGATATTCTCTGTAGCAGAAACATTCAGTAACTTTTCAGTGGAAGCTGTTGGAGTAACCAATGTTGCGTTCAGAATATCGGTTGGCTCAGAAGAATTCGAAACGTACGGTGCACTTGAAGTGAAGCTGGTTGAGTTGTTGTCATCTGTTGTTCCACCTTGGCTTTGACTTAAGCTTGTCGAGTTCTCCAATGTAGAGAGTGTGGAATTAGCTAATGTTTCACTTTTGGAACTTGATAGAAATGACGTTATGATGAAACACCGAAGAAGAATGAAACCTAAATTGGGACCTTTGCAGAGAAAATATATTTATTGTATTTATTTTAACATTGAAAAAAATACCAATAGTTTGGGTTACATGACTTAAAATTAAATCATAGAATGTTAATATCGATCAGTGATGGAAGAGAAAATGTCCCAATCTCTTGCACACACATTGCTCACTGTGAGGGAAGGTAAAATTAAAGTGAGTGCGTTGAGGTTTGGACTCTAATCAGTTAAACCAAGTTCTTGGGATCTCTTCATGTTCAGGTGGACATTAAAGACATAATACAATATTTTGCCCACAAAATACATACAGTCAATTTACTTTATAGTATATTCTGTGAAGCGCTTTGAGACATCTCAAAGACGTGATAAGGTGCTATATCAAATGCAAGGATTATTATTACACATATGTATATATGAATGTATATATATTTTATATTTAGCCAATTACTGGACATAAAGTCTTTCAGTAAAGCATTTCAGTAATAAGGTGTTCTTCAATAATAGTTCTTCAAATATTTGACATAACAATATTTGTCCATCTTTCTAAGTTATTTTAAAATTTTCATTTAGATAACTCTTTGCATCAAGAGGACATCCCAAGATGCTTGATAGTCCTGGCGTGGCACGCAAGTTAGGGGTGGGAGCCCAGAGCGGTGTGGAGGAGAAAGATAACTGAAGGCGCAGTCGAAGAAGAAAATCTTGAGACGAACTTTGAAAGAAGGGAGGGAGGGAGGGAGGGAGTCGGAGATATAGTTCCCAGAGAGTGGGGACAAATAGGCTGAAAGCTCGACAGCTGAAAGTGGAACAGGTTAGGGCGGGGACATGAAGCAGGACGGTGCACGCTGAGGGAAGGGAGCAGCTGGGTTGGTACGGTTTGAGGAGGTCACAGAGGTAAAATGGGGGCAAGATTGTGCAGGGATCTGAAGGTGAGGATAGAGATCTTGAACTTGATCCACTGAGGGGAATGGGGAGCCAGTGGAGTTGGGCTAAGAGAGGTGTGAAAGGCTTGAGGGGGCTTGTGTGACAGGACATGGACTGCAGAGTTCTGGAGAGTTTTACAGATTATAATAATGATAATCCCATGGAACGACTTAAAAAGAGAATGGAGTTTCGCCCAATATCCTAGACAACAATTCCCCAGATGAAATTGGGCATTCACTTCAGAGCTATTTGTGGGTTTGCTGTGCACACACTGTTCACTTGCAAATGTACGTCGCAAAGCGCTTCACGTAATTTACTGTAAAGTGACTGTGTACTCTGCAGGTGAACGTTCAAGATCCCAAACAAATACATTTAACAAAATACAAGTTAATTTAAATCGTCGGAGCATTTTTAAGTTAATTTTAATCATCAGTCCACAAAACAAATAATAAATGTCAGCCGTATAATAAAATAAACGTATCTAAAAAGCACTTACCAGCACAGAGTAAAGTGACAGGAGTGTGGGTTGGCATTGTTGGGCGTATGGATGTACAGGGCGAACTACAAGCTAATATACCTTCCCCACAAATAAGGGACCAATGAAAAAATTAAGGTTTTGTGCAATATTACTACCAATAGCTGCTACTTCCTCTCTATATTTCTGTTTTTTTGATGAACGCAGTTAAATGATCCAAACCCAATTTAAATTCCAAATAGTTTGTCTTTGAAGCTGTCGAGGTTTATCTGTTGAGAGTAAAAATGGAGGGGCAGGACTTTGAAATAGGGTTCATTTTTCCTGCCAAAGACACATTCAAAGGGGAGTCATGCTTGGAGTGCGAGAGCGATTTCCTTTTGCATACTTGAGTGAATACAAGAAGTTAGAAAAGAGATTAGGGAAGTCAAGAGAGAACATGGAAAGGGACTAAAGAGAGTAACCAGGGAAGATATTAAAACCCTAAGTGATGGAAAAAGAGAATGAATAGGAGATAGCAAACATGTTAAATAATAATAATAATAATAATCCGTGCATTTGATGTAGCGCCTTATCACGTATTCGAGAGGTCTCAAAGCCCTTCACAGAATACACTATAAATGGATTGACTGTATATTTTGTGGGCGAAAAGCGGGAGCCAACTGCGCACAGCAGCGTCCCATAAACAGTTGTGGATTGAGTGACCAAATTATTATTATTATTTTTGTGATAAATAATAGGGGTGTGAAAGGCTTGTGGAGTTTTGTGCAGGACAGGACATGAACTGCAGAGTTCTTGGATAGTCAGGTAGACTGATAAATGTAAGGTATTACATGTAGGATCCAAGAATAGAAAGCACAAGTGCTCCATGGATGGATTTCAACTTGTCAAAGGGGGAAGCTGAGAGAGATCTCGGGGTGTTAGTTGACTTCATCGTTCACTATGCCACAACAGCATGATGCAGCAACAAATGAGGCAAACAGGATGCTGGGCTACATTGCTCAATCAGTTGAGGGTGGATCTCCAGACATTAATCTTAGGCGTTTCCCTTTAATAAAAAGGACATAAGAAATAGGAGCATGAGTAAGCCATTCGGCCCCTCGAGCCTGCCCCATCATTTAATAATATCATGACTGATCTTCTAACCTAATTCCCTTTACCCGCCCTATCTTCCATATCCCTTAATCTCTTTAGTTTTTAAAAATCTATTGATCTCAGTCTTGAATATGTTCAGTGATTGAACATCCACAGCCTCTGGGGTAGAGCATTCCTTCAATTCACTAGCCTCTGAGTGAAGAAATGTTTTCTCAACTCAATGCAACCGGTTACGGTCACCCCAACATAAATGGTCTGTTCAGACCCTTGAGGTGGTGCAGAGGAGAGCAGTGAGGATGATTCCCAGTGTTATGAGCTAACGATTAGACAAGCTGGGGTTCTCCAGTCTTGAGAGAGCGATTCAGAGGGGATCTTCAGAGGGGATCTTCATAGGGATGTGCGCAAACTTTTAAATGGGATTGAAAAAGTAAACTCAGATCAAGACTTTGTGATAATAAATACCAATCCTTGCATTTTGATACAGCGCCTTATCGCGTCTTCGAGACGTCACAGAATATACTGTAAAGTGAATTGACTGTATGTTTTGTGGGCGAAACATGGTATCCAATTGCGTACAGCAGCGTCCCACAAACAGACCTGGATTAAATTAAGTGATGGGGGAAGATAGGGTGGGTGTGCTGGAAGGATGAGATTGGGTGGACCGAAGGGCCTTCTTCATCCAAATCAATCTCTGACTTTATCAGAGAGTACCACACCTGCATGAAATTTGCAAAACTGAGACAGAGAGAATAACAATAATAATACTAATAACAAAACACAATAGTGATAATAATCCTTGCATTTGATATAGCGCCTCATCACGTCTCAAAGCACTTCACAGACAATTCACAGAGTGCATGGATTGTCTCTTGTTAGGCTTTCTTGGGATTCTGTACCTTCTTGACAAATACAGATGGCTGTTCACTGACTGGAACGATTAGTGGAAGAATACATGTAGTTGGTTTTATTTTGGGGGTTTATTTTCGGTTTCAAATAGCGGAGGAAAATCTTAACTAAAAATTTTCCAGGGCATATAAGCGACTCTATCAAATAGAGTTAGCGTGGACTAGAGCAGCAAAAGATACCATCTATATAGGTTGAATAATTTCGAGTGAAGTATATTTCTGCACCCCATGATCATTTTATTTCCTGGAATATATAATTGGGAATTTTCCGAGCCGTCGGCCACTCTCCCACCCCTACCCTCTACCTTCCCTGATCCCGACCCCCCCAGTTTGGCTCCAACTCCCTGACTGTCCAGCGCCTTGGGACGTCCTCCCAAAGTGAAAGGCGCCGTACAAATGCCGTTTTGCATTGGATCAGTTGTTCTCAGGAACTTTAAATGTATAATTTAAATTTCTAATTTAACGTTGCCTGGAAATAAATAATTGACAAACGCACACAGAAGAGCAAATAGATCCAAAGTAATTTTGTGTTTGTAGCTGGATTCCTTTGCAGTAGTTTTACCCACGACGTAAACTTGTGCAAGATGCAAAAAAGGGGATGCAAAGCAGATAAGATCTTTGGCTAAAATATAAGCGATGAGCTTTGGCAGATATTGTGGCATTGTGTCAATTTGAAAATATTGAGAACATTTCTTGTTGAATTCCATAAAAGCCATATATCATCGATTCATAGACATTTACAGCACAACAGGAGGTCATTTAGCCCATCGTGCCTGTGCCAGCTCTACTGGTCCCTCTGCCCTGCTCTTAACCCATAGCCCTTCAAATGGTTGTGCTAATCTTTCTCACAAATGGTCATGTCAGTGTGAAAAACAGAGCAGGAGATTTTTCTTAAATTGAAAATAGGAAGTTAAAAAGAACATTTTTGGTCAACCAACCTGTGTTGAAATGACTTTGAGCACTTTTTTTCTCCTTTTTCGGAACGACTTTGTTATGTTCTCGATTGAAGTGAGAGGTGTTAGGCATCATAACATTCTACATTATATCCCCCAGTGTCAGTACCACAAGTCAGATGGAGATTAACATAATAATAATAATAATAATCCTTGCATTTGATATAGCGCTTTTCACGTCGGGAGGACGTCCCAAAGCGCTTCACAGAACACACTGTAAAGTGAATGACTGTATATTTGTGGGCGAACGCGGCAGCCAATTGCGCACAGCAATGTCCCACAGACAGTCGTAGATTGAAAATGACCAATTTATT